CTGGCCACAGCGTACCGAGTTCTCTGTGGGGAGGAACAACGTCAAGTGGGAGCCACTGGTGGGCCCCCGGAAGGTGCTGATGCCACCACTGCACAGCAAATTGCGCCTTATGAAACAATTTGTAAGAGTTGTAGATAAGGAGTCGGCAGCCTTCAAGTACCTTCAAGACTTCTTCCCTAAGTTGTCTGAGGCAAAGGCCAGTGTCTTCGTTGGACCACAGATAAAAAATATCCTGGAGTGCAATGAATTCCCCAAGAAGCTCACTAGTAAGGAGAAAGCGGCTTGGAATAGCTTTGTCGCAGTGGTTCGTGACTTCCTGGGCAATTATAAGGTCGAAAACTATGTGGAGCTGGTTGAGACTCTAATGAAGAACTACGGCAAAATGGGCTGTAAGATGTCCCTCAAAGTCCATATCCTTGATGCTCATCTCGACAAATGCAAGGAGAACATGGGAGCGTACTGGGAGGAGCAAGGCGAGCGCTTCCACCAGGATATACTGGACTTTGAACGCTGCTACCAAGGACAGCATCACGAGAACATGATGGGAGACTACATTTGTGGGATGATGCGTGAAAGTGATTTACAGTATAATCGTAAATCTCGAAAAACTACTCCTAAATCTTTTGTAGAAAATTTTGTATTACTTTAGTATAAATACATGTTAATTTTGATTCATCTGTTGGTTTTTTCTGACTTTATGTGAACGAAAAGACACAAATTCGCCCGTTTTCTCATTGAAAATAGGTAAATTTCTAAATATCACTGTCCTGGTCACAAAAGCAAAGTTTGTGGGGAATAATAGCCATTTTCTATACTTTTTTGCCATAAGCAATTACTAAATAACACTTACTACCCAGGAACAAAAATGTTTTACATAGTGTAATACGTTTAGCATTTGAATAACATGCAAAACCATCTAAAATAATGACTGAAAACACCATGAAAAAATAATTGAGCACATAAGTGTCAAGATGTTCGATTGAAATTGAAAAATTTAATATATCATACTGTAGTCGTGTAAAAGGTGATTTCATATATTTATAAGACCGTGATATTTTTTGTATACATGTGTAGTGAGTCCAACTGAGTCGCAGACGTTGTCTTGGGAGCAACACTATTTATTCAATAAATCGACACAACATAACACAACCTACACTTGGGTGTTGAATGCTCATCGAGCCACGCGACAGCAGAACTAGACACGATTCGCTATCCCGGCCCGGGCCACAAGCTAGGTCCTGGACCGCGTGGCTAGAGGCTTCTTTTACCCGACGTGGATCTTCATCACCAGCAACACGAAGAACCCCGAGCCCCTCACGCCCCCCCCTTATATCGGCCTGGGCTAGGGCTGGCTCTGCCCCTCGCACCGCCCACCTTCTAGATCTCTCGAGCTCTTTCCTGAAGGCTCCCCGAGAGCTCTTTTAGACCACGTGACCGCCCAGCGGCCCCCATCCACCGGTGGCCCCCCTCCAATATCATCCGGTCACATGTTGGCAGGTCAACCAGCGCATCATGCCCCAATGTAACCCTGGCTGGCTGACACTCCCTCTCGCTCCCTCACCGGGAGCCCGCACACTGTATGTGGTGCCTCTGCGCTGACCAGCGCTCACCCAAGCCCCGCTAGGGCTGGTACTATGCCCAGTAAGCGGCTACACGTAATGCCAACACATTATCCGCCGTGGCTTTGTAAGTCCGGCACCACACAGTGACAATCACAGTCACTACACATGCATTCATACGGCGATAAACTCCCAAATAATGCTAATCTTCATGTCACCTCCTAGCCAGTTTCAGTTTCATTTATTAGGTATAGCCCTGTGCGCCATGCGACTCTTGACTCGGGTGCAACCGCAACAAACAAAAACATGAAAAAGAACATCTTAAAGTGACTACGCGCAACAGAAAAATACAGGAAAAAACAGCAAAGTCTTCCAAAAAAAAAACTGCATATCAACGTTGTGTGCAAAATCTCAATGGGATGCAAGTCAAACAATAACAACAATTTCGATTAAAGTTATCAGGCTAACTCTGTACTTCAACAAACAAATGAGGATAAACCATTCGTTATTGAAATCACCAAAATAAAGCTATAAAAACAATGTAACAGTGATCATAGGAACTGTGATTCAAATTTAACAATAAACGATAAACATAACATGTACGACCAAACTTTGCAGCCATAATTGGCAGCATGAGTCACTTCATAACAGCAGGAGTATCAGCAGGAGTATCAAACATTTTCAATGCACCTTTAAAGATCAGCACACTATAATCAAAACTCAAGATCATACTTTGCAGCGGTCATCCGGAGCGATGCATTTGATTTCAGGCCACTTTGCACAGCAGTGGCAGCTAGGGGTGTACAGCTCCTCAAGAGCAGTTTTGAGTGAAGATCTCACAGGTAGTGATCCAAGTTGCAGTTAATTGGCGATAGCATTCCAGACCCTGGGGGCATGAACAGCAAAGGCCCTTCCTCCAGTATTTGTACGGCAATAAGGAATGTGAAGCTGATAAATGAGCGAGGACCTTAGGTCACATTTGTTCTTCGAAACAGTAAGGAGATCCAGCAGGTAGTCTGCTGATTTTTTTGCAAGTACATCATTAAGAGATGTTAAGTTTGACCCGATGTAGAGATCGCAGTGGTGGGTCCTATATGGGCAGTTCAATGCAAATCTTAAGGCCGAGTGATAAATTGAGTCAAGCTTCTTCAGTACAGTACTGGGGGCTGATTTATATACGATATCACAGTAATCAAGTAGAGGAAGTATGGTAGCTTTTATCAATTACAAACGGAAATGGGGGTGAAGCAATGCTTGTGTCGATACAGAAAACCAATTTTTTATTTTGTCTTTTACCAATAGAATCAATGTGATCTTGAAAATTCAATTTTGAATCAAAGATGACCCCAAGAATACTTATACATCTTGACTTGCTCTATTTGATAATTATTTAAGGAATGTAATTGGGGAAAAATAACTTCCTGCTCTAGTCTTGGTGAGAAGCATAGCACCTTGGTTTTTATAGGTATTCAGGACTAGTTTTAGGGGAACTAGCTGATGTTGTAGTTTGTTGAAATCACCCTGGAGCTTAGCCAGTAAACATGGAACGTCGGGCCCAACATTAGCATGCGCTTGGAACCTTTGGACCAACGGTGGCCCAAGGTGTCGCGTTTACAGTGGCTTTTGGAGCTTCAAAATTACGTGTTGTTACAACCGATCCTTTTCTCCAAAGTGCAATGTATATAAAGTTAACTTTAAAACACCTACGGTCGTGTACATTAAAAAAAAAACATTTATTTTGGAAGGATGTTATATTTATTAACATCTGTATTGACTGTTTTAAGTTGTATTGATCCACTTTTATTATAAAATGTGTTTTCTGCAAAGTTGTAGTTACGGATTGAAATGTGCTGTTTTCTGAACTTATTTTTACCACAGGTCTCCCTTTAAAAATCGACTTATGGTTTTGAAGGGCTGTTATCTGGTCATAAATAAAGGTCATCCATCGACAGTATCTAACTGGCTACAACCCTGTTGATGAGTCTGAGATAAGTCGAATCAGTCCAGTTATCCACTTAAACCAAGTTCTGCTGTATTCAGACAGATATCCGAATGTAAGCATATATAAAATAAAAACTCAATACATTGGTCATGAACACCACCCGACAATCATAAGTATAGGCTATACTACAATTGCTCTTCTCTCTGAAAGAGGACCTTTGCCCAAAACATCGGCCTTGTACAATATATAATGTATTTTGTGTTGAAAGGCAAGTGATCGAGAATGTGGCAAGTTTTTTTTTCTTTTATGCCTATTTACGTTTTATTTAATGTTACTCACATTTTTTGCATCTTACATTTTGTAAAACATTTACTTTATTATACTTCGACGTGGCAATTAAGGAACCCATTCAGTGTGAATATAATTTAGTGTATTGCAAGGAGTTTACACATTTTCTCGCCAATGACACCCTACCCATCAACCAGGACCTCAAAAATGTCCCAATTTCCCCTTCACTGATCCTGGAATATCACCCAGTAACGCGAACGTAAAGAATAAACACCTCATTCGAGACCCAAACATTGCAACCTCCTGGCTCTGACATTCCTCGAAGACACTGGTAGTTAACCATCAACCGCATGCGCACATCTCCATCGTGAATGTAAACTAAAAGACAACACGCCACAGCGGTGCGATTGTGGCCATGCAACGCAAACTAGGGGACAATATTATAGTGAACCATTGTATGATAATTGTTTTTTTATCCTTTTATCTGGCAACAAAACTGACCCCTTTTTTTGCAAGGAGTCATGTTTGCATTGACCACAATACCTGCAGTCGGAATGCAAACAAAAAAACATAACTCTGGAAAATGAGGTTCCAATGGTGAACCATTGTAGGAGAAGCAAAAGTAAAACTACACGAATTCTCACTCTCTCTCTCGAAGCCCTCTCGTGTCTCGCAGCAGACCTCGACGTTGGCATTGAGCTCCTTAACACATTGCTGCTGTTGCTGCTGCTGCCATCATGCGCAAGAATAGAATAGTGTACTGCATGGCAAGAACGTACTCACCCTAATACTTACAACCTAAAACAGCTCTTACGTTAACCCAACAGTGGGATTGAATTACCACCAATTTTTTTCGTCAATCCACTGCGGTAATGGGTGAACAGTTGTATATGGTTGTACGTTACTAACTTTAGTTTAATATTACGTACCGCATACACTTGTTACTGTGTTACTATATACTGCTAATAATAAGAATATTTTGTATTTAATTGGTGGTGGTGGAGGAGGAGGGAGGAGAGGGCAGTGACGCACGGTCTCATGGCGCCGCCACGCGAGGTGAGTTGCCCCCGGGGTCTCGGGCAGAGCAAAACTACCACGAAAAGTCGCCAAAGTGGCGCTGGAGCGGCCGGTTTCGTGCCAGAGACGTCGACAAAGGCGGCCACGAGCGTGCCAGTCTATTGCCGGGGCGCCGCTAAGCCGCCAATTTTAAACTTTGTCGCCGTAACGCGCGACGAGCGAGGATTTTTTTTTATTTTCGCGGGGGGTGTGGTGCTTGACCGGTCTCGCCTGGAAATTGCGCCGCAGCCTGGCGCTAGGCCTCAGGCGGGGCAGCGCGGCGGCGATCGCCTCCCCCTTAAAGAAAGGAAATAATTTTTTAAATCGTTATTTAATGTCAATTATATATTTTCTTAAAATAAAAAAAGTCTTCGTGCTTTAACATCGGGGCAGAATTAGCAATTTTTGTTGAAAACATCGAGATTTCCGGAGCCCGTTTGCGTAACTTTCACGCCGAGTTAATTTTGTTGAACAAAAAAAAGTGGAAAACTGTGGAGCCGGGTGAGGGGAGGCCTGGTCCGAGGTGGCAGCGTCAAATGTTTTAACGTGAGACAAAGCGGGACGGCGAGCGATACAACACGGCAACGTTTAGGGTGTGTTGATTTGTTATTTGTTCAATAAAAGTTCCGTCATTTCTATTACATAGGGCGGCAGCCAATTTCTTGGCAGCGCTGTCCCCATGCCTCGCATTGTTCGACGCCACGGGGTTTGCGTTGTGCAGCGTTGTGCCTCGTTATTTGTAACATTTGCCACTTTACAGTGGGGGGCACTTTGTGGCAACAGCTGCATACTTTCTGGGGCCTCGGTAAACCATCGAAAAGCAACTTAAAGCGAAAGACGACGCGGTGGTGTTGACCTCAAGTAAACGTGGGGCGTAAGTTTACGACGCGAGCTGTAATTGCTTCTCTCCGTCGCACAGAGAGGAGGAGGGTGACCGCCCTCGTTTTGCTGTTCGTAGCCGTCGTTCTCGTCCTCTTTGCTGACAGCCTTGGTCTCTGTTTATGTCCACACAGTTCTGCTTGTCCAGGAGCTGACGGGAGGATGTGCTGCGTCCCGTTCACACGCGACAACAACGAGGCCGCATGCTTGAACATTCTTGGAGAGCTGTGAAGACGTTCATCTCAAAGCCATTAAAGAGGGCTTCTCGACTCGGATGTCCAGAAAACCAGAAGTTTTCCCCCCCTTCTCTCTCCACTTCTTGTCGGAACGTTTTAGATCGGAAACCATCTTCAGATTCAACGACAAAAGCAGGAATTGAAGCAAAAAAAAGGGACCGGTAGTTTCTGTGTCGTCTTATAAAGAATCTAGTGGAGACAAACAATGGAGCAGAACATGGAGTATTTCTTGATGCAGGTCATGCAGAAGGATGTCAGCAAGCGACTGCAGACTGGGCAGGAGTTGGTGGACTACCTCTCAGATCCTGTGCGATCGTGGGATGTGGAGCAGGACCCATCGCTCCTGGACCGTATGGTGGACGGACTGACCGGCTGGGTTGGATCAAGCAACTTTAAGGTCAGTTTTTGAACAATTCGCAGTGCCACGTGTTGTTGAAACAAAACATTATGTCCAGCTTGGGACATCTTCGGTGTCAAATAGTGGGGGTGATTGCTAACGTGTCCTATCAGCCAAAGTGAAAGCGATGTTGCCTGTTGTTACTGTACCTCTCACCAAGGGGTTGTTTTCCCCAATTCGTGGCTTGATGCTAAGATGATAGACAGGCCCTCGAGGTGTATAGAGTTGATGGACTTGTTTAGAAAAACGCTGACGTACCTTTCTTTTCAGAGTGTGAAGAACACTTGCTTATAATAGCCATGAAACGTTGAACTGATTGATTGTTAATGTGTCGATTAATTCAAGGTGAATCGTGGTTTTCCATTACATATTCCTTTTTGGCTTTTGTCTCATAGGCACTGAACCAACTTTCAACCATCACAAGTGGCCCGTTGTGTTGCAATGTTATATTTTAAAGAGTTAAAACAAGCAATACTTGCGTTTCATTTGCCACTGAATGTTATGCACCAAAAAGTCTCCTTTCAACTATAATTTTGCACATTCTTTAAAAATCATTCTGTAAGCGATACATATTACAGACGACCACATGCCTTTATATGGAAATAGCTCATTTGCAAAATCCTCACTTTAAAAAACCATCTTTCCTGAGCAAGGAAACTCGTACGTACATGTTCTAGATTTCATCAACCAGTTATTGCTGTTACTTGAAAAATAACCATTCCTTAATGCTTGAATGTAAGAAGCTGATTTACTAAGGATTATGCCGGACTGCCTTAGGGGAGCTAATCCCTCAGTCCTGCCCTGATCAGCTGTATAAGCTTTCGAGCAGTTCTCTAATTGCATTCCTAGTTGCTTATGTCATTGCTACTTTAGAGTACGTTTTGTGAAGCTGCCCAAAGTCGTATACAGTACGGTATGTCCATCTTTTTAAATGTAAAATATTTCATCGCCAACGTAAACCGAGGTGTAAAACTGTGATAATAATGTAATGCTGTACAAATTGCGAAAAATACCACGCTGCGAATGTGCAATGGACCAAAATGCCCACGGTACAGTACTGTATAGTTTTGTAGGTAAGTATTCTCGGTGAACTGATCTGGTGACTCCCAATTTAGCCGAGTGACCGAGTTTGACATGCCATGCCAGCTGAACCCATTTGACATGTGCTGGTCACAGGGCTGCTGAAGAAGAGAGGAACGGCTGTGGCAGCTTTTGTCGTACATTTTTTGCTGATTCCATACTTTTAATTTCCATTGCTGTCCCTTGGCCCTTTGTACATTGTATTTGGCGGTCGAGGGTCTGTGGTGCTCGGTAAACGTGCGCAAGAGACATGCTTCAGTGAATGTTTGAGGTTTTGAGTTAATATATATTTAACAACTGGAATGGTACCGCAGATACAGTAGTAGTTGTGCCTGTTCGTACGGCACTCTGCAGCTGCTTGGCATCCAATGCAGCAGCGTGTAACTAAACGGATTCATAAGATAGGGTGTACTTTTTGGTAACTTTTTCATTTGCTATGGGCTGTTATTCTGTCACATGCAAGCTCGTCCATGAAATTGTGAAGTCATTGAAGTGCTCAAAACAGTGTAGTTCATTTCAAGAACATATGATGGCACCTCACTCTAGAAATTACGAAATATACATTTTCCACATTAATCTCAGCAGTATACATTTTGTAAGTTTCAACGACACAGTGTTGCATCAAGCCAATGTGTATGCTCATTTAATGTATCGAAAACTGGGTTTAGAAAAAAAGAAGTCGAATAAAAAATGTCCTGTCTTTATGAGCATAATTTGAGTAACTTATCAATTTTTCGAAACAAACCTATTTCTATCTTGATATGAAGGTTTTGTGACTGCAGGAATTCATACTCTTTAGTTCTTTCGGTAAAGTCACGTAGGTAGAAAAAATAATAGATCACGACAACCATCTTCACCTGAAGACGGTTGCTTGTGTGGCGATCGAAACGTCGTGATCTATTATTATTTCTACCTATGTGACTTTACCGAAAGAACTAAAGAGTATGATAACCTATTTCTCTTTAGCCGCCAAGCGCAGTGATGTAGGATCAAACACCCCCCATGACAGACGTGGTGTGGGGAGACCTTCATCCAGCAGTGGGTGGACAAAGAGTAGAAAATAATTGCGTAATACTAATATTTGCTGAATTCATATACTGTGCTTCATGCGTTTTACAGCAGCTTCCCAATTCTAACTCTAATTGGATTGCATCAGTGCATGTTGCTCATTTTGACTTTAAACTTGTTCATCATCAACCACGCTGTCCACTGCTGGATGAAGGCCCCTCTAAGTAATCGCCATCCTTCACGGCCTTGTGTTGCTACAATATATCTTAACTATGAACTGGCCACATCGTTGCATCTCCTTAGTGGATATTTTATTGATTGTTTCCTCTTGGCTGCAACTATCATCAGTCTTGACAAATGGCCCTCATCGCTCCTAACAATTCCACTTACCTTTACTCCCACTCAATATTACGTCTCTAATTCTCATTTGTTCTCTGATCCATGTTTTCATTTTACTATCTCTCACTGTATGATACACGTGCATGTTATCTTGCTTGTGTTCCTTTTTCATCGTCCATGTTTCCGATCCATGTGATAGCATCTAATGTGAACTGATGCAAAACATTCTTATTACATTTGTATTAGTCAAGTTTATCTGAAGCCCAATATTGCAGCCTTTATTATGTTCTTCAAAAATTTCCTGTCATTAATCCAGGAATGACTGTCCTTAGCATGTCTGAGATGATAACGAATTAGGCACATTAACCTCCTCTCTCACTTATATATTCTTTGTTCACTAGGTGATTGGGAACAGACTAATGGGTAATGTAGAGGTGAAACGTTTTATATTTATATTATTTTATTATTTCCCTTCTACGTGACTTTACCGAAAGAACCAAGAATATAGGTGAATCATTGTTTTCCGCAATCGACTACATGCATGCTATCAATCAGATCCTGGAAAATACGTGATATAATGTTACGTGAATTAATGTATGTTGAACGTTTTTGCACCTTACATAGCCAATCGTGCTAATCGGAGATGCTATGTGAATAGCATCTAAATGCAACCACATCTCTAGATGCTGTACAGAATAAGTTGGCATTTATTTTAGTGAGAAAGAGGCAGTCGGACACCGGCTGAGGAAAATGGATGAGAAATAATCTTCATCGACTTAAGCTTGTGGGGCTGTGCTCGTTTTGCAAGACTACAAGTGCATCTTTGTTGTGGCCTACAGAGACTTATGGCATTCATTTTGAAAAACTTTTAGCTAAAAATAAAAATTATGAACATGTGAGTTACTTGTCACCCAAAGCAATTTAAAGTTTGATCAAAGGTCCAGTGTTTTACTGCCTTATTGACCAATCACGTGTAGTGTTTCATAGTCACTGACTGTTGTTTTCATTATGGCAAACACTTTCCTATTCAGTATGTTTGCTTAATATTCACCACATTGCAAGTACTAATTCCTCGGCATTGCCACCTTGCAAACTGTTACACCGATTAATCCTTCTTGTCAAATTATCGTGCATTTTTCATTATTCTATGACGATGGCCTGGCATCATGCAGCATTATGGTAGGAGAGAAAGTGCATTCTCATGGCTGCTGACCGATAACTGGGACATTACTTAGCATTTTATATATATATCTGAGAACACTTGCTCTTCATGGTGAATTGTAAAACAAAATGTAGAATCTTCTTTTGCAAAGCTGCTGTCCTTTGCATTGTGCTGTATCCCATACATATTCTCCATGTCATTTATTATTACGTCAAAGTACAGTACTCAATTTAACATCAAAAGTATGTTTGAGGTGTTTTTGATGGAGCGAATTTTGCCACAATTAATATGCACCTGTTTCCACAACAACACAGTTGGTAAATGTTGCATTGAGGTAGTTTACATGCATGAACACAGTGGCAAATTGACCATAGCCTTAAATGTTCAACAAGCATATGCAGGCCATTACAGATTGTTTGGCATTCCCCCAGGTGTCCCTGCTTGGCCTAGAGGTGCTGGGGGCCCTGGTGGATCGCTTGCAGGATCGATTCAAGATGCATCTGGGCACAAGTAAGTCATAAGCATGCAACCTCTCACCATAACTTTGACTTTCTTTGGCTTTTGTTGGTCATTGTTAACGACAGATTGTGAATTATAAGCAGGATGATTGGAAGAAGAATTGACTTTACCCTTTCTGGCAATAACACAGGTGTTAAGATGTTCAAACACCAAATAGGCAACCTATTGCAAGGCATAAAGTCTGCATTAACCACATGCTTGTGGTAAAATATGCAAACAAACGTGCACTGATAATATGCAATCGGTGACTATTTAGTGTTTGAACATCTTAACACCTGTGTTATTGCCAGAAAAGGGTGAAGCCTATTCTTTTGATCATATGGATACTGGCAAAAAGGTTCTGTCGATATAAGCAGGATGTTTTGATTGATGCATGTCAAGGCTACGATTTGCGAAATTATTGTGTACCATACTGTAACTTTAGCCTTTCAACACAAGCACAATTTCCAAAAGCCCGATGCTATTTTACTACATCATGTCGATTTATTATCTGACTAAATATGTTCTTTGAAAAATCACCAGTTAAAAAATAACGTGCGATTTTACCGAGTATGAATCCTTGCAGTCACGAAAGCTTCAAATCTAGAATTGCATCATTTACTTTTGTTAAAACTTCAGCATTGTGTGCAGGGACCAATCTCCTCTGACCTGCAAAGATATTTTGCATAAAGTTAGCTGAACAGTACCAACAATATAATTATAACGAGAACGGAAATGGGGTCAACACAACCCTTGTGTGTGTGTGTATTCCCATCAGTGTGTTCATATTGTATACTAGCTTCTTTGTCCCGTCCTAGGACGGAAGCTGTAATATTTACAAAAAAATCGAGCAGAGTTTAATTGTATCTTGTGTAAATTTGATGGCAGTGAATCTTGCACGAAACTATGTCATAAAACACTTCACTTAATGTCACTGTAGCACTGTATATAACTGACCTTCAATTTGTTCAAATTCACTGCTCTGATACTTTATTCTCTTCTGCTTTCGGTCGCTGGGGTTGAAATAAATTGGAAATCGATGCAATATGTGGAAAATCACCGAGAAAGGTCTATTATACCATAATGTAGAAGCATAAATTAGACTTACCTTTTGTCTCAAGTGCTGAAGAAATAAATAAAGACACCAAATCCACTTTGTTGCTGCGTAGAATTATTGATTGCAATCACTATCAATGAAGAAACGTCAAACTTAAAGCGAATTTGCGTGAGTGTAAAAATACACCCGCTCATGATTATTAATGAGGGGGGTGGGCCTCTTTTGCAGTGACGTCACGTACGGATGTAGCACTGCTGCGTATATTTTTGACTTTCTGTAAAGAAACGTCATATTTGAAGCGACTTTGCGAAAAAAATATATCTTTCCACTCGACCTTATCCTGCGTGAGTGTAAAAATCCACCCGCGCATGATTACTTTATTATTAAAGACGGGGGGGAGGGGGGTGCGGCATGTGGAGTGACGTCACACGCGTTATACACATTTTTGGGCAATTATAGTAGTAATACATTGTCACTTCTGAAAAAGAGCTATATGGTACCATTCTTTTTTAATCCGTTTGAGCAAGTCACGTCTATGTTCTGGTGTTGGGTGAGTGTAGATATGATCCATAGCTCGGAGACAATCCAGGGCAGGATGTCGCGTCATGGGGCGCAGCAGCAGGGTTGACATCATCCTCAGAGCTATTGTACTTAAGCTGCCGAAATCGCCCACAGCTGTTGTAGTGTCATAGCAGGGGACTTTACTGAACTAACATTTAAACAAAACATATTTGTACATTAAAAAAAATCCGAAAAGTTTAACAAATATAGATGTATTGTTTTGAGTAGGTGTGCCTGGTAACTGCATTAATTTCAATGAATAATTTTATAAGCATAAATCTTGAGAAGCAAGCTCAGACACGGTTTGATTTAAATTTTTGTGCTGTCATCGTCACCTTGTGAAGTTTCATATCTCAGAAACCAAAATACATTACCTGTAAAGCTACTGGCTTGAATTTGACACCTTCGGCTCCGCTAAACATTCATCTTTCAACACTATCAGCAGACCGTGATATGAATATAATAAATATATTTTCACAGAATTCACTTGCATTTTTTACATTCTGCATGCGGTAGAATTAATTAACACACGGCCGTCGTTGGCTGATAGAGCATTGTAGTACAGTTTGTTATTAATGTTCGGTCTGGCTCGTTTAGCATGACTCAAGTGTTGTCACTCTATACAGAAGACTGTCAGCTAAGCTTCAGCTGCCAAGACTAATAAAACTATGATAGAAACAGTGGCATGCCGTCTACACCTCACCACACCCTGCCCCTCCTCCCTCCCCTTGGGCTTGTACCCCTAGCTGCCTTCCTCTTGCACGCCTCTGCTTAATGGGCAGCACACACTGGGATAGTCGTTGCATAAATCAGATGGAAGATGTGCTTGTCATGGAGGAAATATGTCACTGGCAAGCTATGGTGGTGTCAACAACTTCTAGGTGTGGAACTTTGTGGTCTTCAGAGCATATTTTGAAAATTCACGAATGCACTCTCAAAGTATTAGATCGTGTTTCAGATACTCTTGCCAATGTATAAATAGGTAATGATTTTTTTTAACTCCACTGCAATTCTCAGTCCAGGCATCGTTTTGATTCCTACTAAGAATCGTGCTAGCATTTTAAACCTTGTATGCACGGGAGCAACAGGGGGAGCACATGAGTTGCTTTCATTTCGCGATCATTCACTGTATTGTCCCTGGAAAACACATTCTTGCGGAGGGAGCTGGTAGGAACGTTAGGTTGCTCGGTCAATGGCCTGCAGGGTCAACGGCGGCGTGGTGTATTCCGCAAATATGCCCGACTGTGAGGGCGGGCACAAGCCGGCGTGAGTAGGTTAAACGTTGAGTTTTATAAGGGCACCACGGGGTGACCAGCCCCTCCCCTCCCACCCAGCCCCTCCCCACCCTCCCCTCCCCACCCAGCCCCACCCTCCCCACCCAGCCCCTCCCCACCCTCCCCTCCCCACCCAGCCCCTCCCCACCCTCCCCTCCCCACCCAGCCCCTCCCTCCCCACCCAGCCCCATCCTCCCCACCCAGCCCCTCCCCACCCTCCCCTCTCCACCCAGCCACATCCCTCCCCACCCAGCCCCTCCCCTCTCCACCCAGCCACATCCCTCCCATGTTTGGATGCACGACAGACGGACACAATAATCCCCTGTGGGCTGGTGTAACCAGGAGGTTCCTACCAGTATCATGCATGTAGTACATGGTGAGCTTGTATGATCAATATGATGTCATGTTCTGTCGGGTTGGGTCCTGTATGCCTCGGGATAATTACTGTACACCGTATTATATAGAATTTTATGCAAAACATAAACATGTAAATGCCAAGTCATTGAGGCACAAGGTACTGTGTACCTTTAACAGTGATGTCACACCTAATGTTTACACATGTATTCTAAAAAATATGTTGGATGACGAGCAGGCAGGTTTCAGTTTTCTCTTCCTGTCGACTTAACGTCAAAGTCACAAGGCGTTACTCGTGCTGCTGCACGTGAATACGTTTGCTCCCATGCCTCTCTCTTGCACTGTTTACATGGCGGATGCAGAAAGGTTATAAATAGTCTTCGACCGTCGCCCTACAATATATTGAGCATGTGACATTGCACTTTCAATCCTCGTATCTTGTTACTGGTTTTGGACAGCTGATAACTGCTGAGTCTACTTTGGAAAACGATCATGTAGGCCTTCCTACATATGTATATATACACACAAAATGACATGTGCTTATTAAGGCCAACAATAAATAGGGGGAAGTATGGCAAGGATCATGCCCTTTGCCTCCTTGTTGCTGATTTTTTACACACTGCACAAAGTGCTAATTTTAGCCCAAGTTAACCAAGAGATGCCCCGGACCTGTTCTGATACCACTCGCCACTAATTCGAGCTATGGCTTGGAATCAAACTCAAGTCTTTGGGTTCATAGAGCAATGCACTCACCACTACACCACTACACCACTACTCCTTTTATACCCTCCCATCTATCCTAAAATGTAAACTAAATTCGTATAAATTTATGAACGCCATGTAATTTGTGTACTTTTTTTTATTTTGAGCATATTTGTTAATATGTTGAACGCATCAACTTTTGAAATTTTCAAAACTTTATATATTTAAACTGATGGGTTTAATATGATATGACCAAATGTGCCAGGAAGGGTAGTGCTCATAGCTATTGGTGCATTGTGTCTTTACTCTTCAGTCCTGCCGTCCTTAATCGACCGGTTTGGAGATGCAAAGGATCAGGTCAGGGAGGCAACTCAAGGTCTCCTCCTTAAGGTCATGGACGTTGCAGCACCACCACAGGTAAGAGGCGATCTATTGCCAGGCACTGTGATCAAAATGAAATTTTGAGGACTGAACCAAGTGTGCTTATCTCTCAACTCATTGTGCACCATTGTGTAGGATTTGTGGATGATAAATCAATAAATAAGCTCGAGGTTGGCTATTTATCTATCAACTTATGCACCTTCTAGACTAATGTTTTCCAGTAAAAAATATAAACAGGCAAGCCATGAATTGGTTTTGACTCTCTGATGATCATCTTATTCATGTGTACCCCTGTTGGCCTTCCTGAGTCAATAGTGGAAATTTCAGTAAACCTATAGCAGAGACCAGTATTACAACTACTGTTGATTTCCCACGAAAGGAATGAGTCTACTTTGTCTGGGAATTTAAATCATGACTCGTGATATCTTGCATGCTGCTCCTACTTAACTATATCAAAACTGTTATGTGACACACAGATGTGTAAGTGAAAATATGAATGCATCAAGTTGCATTTAATTTTAAAAACATAAGTGACAGTTTTAACTTGTAATGGTACTAGCATAATAATTAATATTTCTATGTTAGCATAATAATATAATACTTGTGTGATGTCTGCTGTTATTTTTGTTCACAGTTTGTTTGGGAGCGGTTGTTGGGAGCGTTTAAGCATAAAAACTTTCGCACACGAGAAGGAGTCTGCCTGTGCCTCAGCGCCACCATCAACAAGTAAGGTTATTGGCGTGAAATAATATAGGGATTTTATGTGAGATGTGCCTGGCACGAAGCTCAAAACACTGCTGAGTTTGCACCTAAGAACCTGACATGCCCTGCATCTATCATTAATTTATTTAAATATAGTGGTGCATCTGCACAAATCACAAAAACCCAACACATTAATGAATAACAATCCCTAAATAAATATATCACATGTGATATTGCAGGCAGTGTACCTTTTGAAAGGATTTATGTCAGCAGTGCTGCTAAGGCAGGGAGTTATCAAGGTTTGAGATGGGTGTAGCCCAAGGGTCAGTGGGCGGAGCTAGAGCTGAAATTTGCATGTGAATGTAAGATCGGGTAAATCTTGACAAACGAAGCTGTAGGGGTGGCTATTGTATTGTGAGAGATTAGCATGTCAATGTAAGAGAGATTAGCATGTCAATGTCAGAAATGTGCTTGTAAATGTAAGCTCGGAGAGAGCTCGGAAAGAGCCATCGCCACATGGAGGTGGAAAAGGATGGCAAGCCGCCATTTACTAACACAGCTAACGGTGGCTGTGTTAGTGAATGTAACTCAGGGAGTCGAAAATAACTGCTCACATAGGTAGGTAGGAAGGGAACAACACAGCCAGTTATGACCTAAGCTGGTTAATAACGTCCTTCCAATGATTGCTCAGTTTGTACCCATTTTCTCGGTTGAAAGTGTGTCGGTTTTTAAATTTCTGGATGGCTTCATGAACGAATCTTTGCTGATAGCCAGTGGGTTTGTAGAGTACCTTCGTCTTGGAAAAATAAATTTCGTGTGAGCCCACAGCGTTAAAATAATGATCAGCCACGGCTGAGGTATTGGTCCTACCGTGTTTCAGATCTGCCTTATGTTCACGAACCCGGTCCAAGACATGTCACTTAGTTTCCTCAATGTAACTGCTGCCGCAGACACAGCTTAGTTTGTAGACACCGGGGTATTGCATGTCAGGGATCACATCCTTCACAGATAGGATCAAATCACGAATTGTATGTACTGTGTTGAATCGTACCTGGATCTTGTGTTTGTTCATGACTTGGGAAATTTTTTGGTGACCCCTGCTATGTATGGCAAGGTGATGGTTTTGATTGGGTCCTCAGATGGTTCTTTCCCAACGGTTGGGGTGATAGCTTTACGGATTGTGTTGTCTGAATATACATTCTTCTTGAGTGCTTGGTGTACGTGTTCCAGCTCACTGGCTAGGTGGTGATTGTCGGAAATACAACGAGCTCTATGGTGTAGAGTTTTGATGAGGGAATTCTTCTGGGATGGATGGTGGTGGGAGTCAGGTTTTGATTGCTGGGTGTATGAAATTGATGTGGTTGAAGTAATGGTCCAGAGCTGGTAGGCCACGTGGGCAGATGACGAACGTGTCATCTACGTACCTCTTCCACAAGGACGGACGTAGAGTGGATGCCTGGATGGCATTTGTCTCAAATTTCTCCATGAAAACATTGGCTACAACTTGAGATGAGGGAGAACCCATTGGGGTATCTTCAACTTGTTTGTAGAATGTTCCATTCCAGGTGAAATAAGTGTTGGTGAGGCAGTGTCTAACCAGGGCCGGTACATCAGAATTCAGTCCTTGTTGGACCAAATGTTTAATGATTGTGAAGTACCGGTGAAGACGCTTGACGCCGAGGTTGAGGCACACGTATATTTATTTCACGATACGACAGTGGGCAGATACACACTCGAGGGGGTATCGGCCCCCTCACCCGTATAACTCGGGATACACCCCTAGCTAACTCTGTCCTAGCCCCGAATCCTCCACTAATGGGCTAGGAGAGGCTAACTGGCCCGACATTGGTAAGTCGGGCCCGGTACCCGGAGTTCCAGACCAGCTCTTACAAGAGCACCGGCTCTGGCTTTCGGGACCACGCCGCTGGCTCAGTCCTGTCCGGCCCTGAAAAGGACATCGAACCAGGGGAGTCCAGGGCTCTATCTAAGACGTCTTCAGTCTTGTTCCCTTAGCTTAAACATAACTGACTCGAGCCCTTTGAACATCCCCTTTTATACCCAACCCCTCCCTGAGGGGTGGGGCCCCGGGGGATCATAACGTTCGAACCAGCCCCCCCCAGGGTGTCTGGCTCGGACGTCGTAGAGGGCACCTCCTCGTGCACTTACGTAGCCCCGCCCACTGTGTTTGTTTTCCATAGGCTGCCATGCATAACGGGCCCTCTCTTTAACACCCCTACAATTGCAATGGTGTCAGGCACAGGAACTTTAGTAAACAAAGATACCACATCGAAACTGACAAGCAAATCACCTGGAGATAGTGAGATGTCCTTAATTAGAGATACCAAGTGAGCTGAGTTAAGTACAGCTGAGATGGTCTTCCCAGTGAATGGTTGCAAGGTCTCAGACAGAAATCTGGCCAGTTTGTAGTGGGTGAGCTAATGGTGGAGACGATAGGACGGAGTGGTGTACCTTCTTTATGGATTTTTGGTAAGCCATAAAATCTGGGTGGTCTAGCAGCAGAGGGTTTTAAGGAAAGCCACGATGTGGTATTAATGATGGCAGCTATGCCAATGATGGCAGCTATACCTAAATCAATAGAGATCCTGGTTACGAAAACCAAAATATCATCACTGATTCAACATCTTTAATCGAACCAACCATCTGTAATGGCACCTGTTGCTATGCCTAAAAATTCCAGAACCTCTTGAACAATATATGTTGCATAGCAACGTTTCAGAGGTGTATAAAATACATCACTAATAAGTCAGTGTTTTGTGTTGGCCTGGTATTTGGGAATATAAACACTGCGTTGCCATGGTTTTATTCTCAGATGTTTATTGTTTTATGTTTTACTCATTGCAGGTTTGGTGCCCAGTGTCTGACCCTCAGCAAGATTGTACCTCACATCTGCATGTTACTGGGAGATGCTAATGGCTCGGTAAGTGTGCTATGCACATATGAAGGATGTAGGCTTTTGCATCATACTTTAACTTATTACGTAGGTTTTCACAGCCATTCTTATTATTAGTCATTGATTTTTTGGTTTGGTCCCAATGATTTGACCTAATTTATGTCGCTCAGACCTTCATCCGACACAGCCAGACATTTGTTGCCACGTTTACAAGTGCTTAACACGCCAATTGTTCTTGTGTGAGCTCACCGGTAAGTGAAATAACAATTCTCATAATCAAATTTAGCCATTTGATATGACGTGTCATTTCAAATTACGTCAAACATCATCAGGACAAGATACAGCAAGTCAGAATAATCCAGGAAACCAGCATAACTCTGTAACCTGACCCAAAGTCTTAAACAGAATAAAAATAGAATATATTAATTTGTAAGGACTAATATCTAGTTTAAATCTTATTGGTTGATCTTGTGAGGTTGTGACTCTTACTTTTGAGCCGGGTCAGGTTAAAAGGTTTGTCTGACTTCCTGAATTGTTATGCTGGCTCCCTGAAACTTGTCCTGAGGATATTTGATGAAACGATAATTGGCATGTTTAATGCTTGTATACTTGACAATTAAATTGTTTGGCTGTGTTGGGTGGCGGAGGGTCTAATGATACAAATTTTGTCATATCATCACATGGCCTGATCCAAAAAAAAACATATGAATTATCAGCCTTTTTTGTTCAGAATTTGTAAAACTAAATGTGCAATAACACGAGAGATGTATGTGCAAACGTCTCAGTAACTGTAGATACCTAAGTAGTTATTGTTTACCCATGAAGCTCGGTTTTAACGTCATGTTGTAAATGATGATACAATGCAATTGTTTTATGTGGCCTTCGCAATTTTCCATTTGCTTATATTTTATTATCAGAATGTTCATCTCTTATATTTTATTTTTTCATAGTCCACATGAATTCGTCATCATCAGTCACGAGCCATTGCTAGTTGAAGGCATTGCTCTGCTAGCTGTCTTTGGATTAATCCAATGTATTATTAATCTGCACCTCTTTGGATGATTCAGTTCTTATGATATTGAGTGATCGAGATAGGGCTAGCCTTATGTAAGAGGCAAGGCTGGAGGTACTTGTGGGTAGTTATGCTTGCTATTTATTGGCCACTGCTCTCCCTTTGTTGTTCCATCTGCACATAGGTGCGCGACGCGGCCACGCTGAGTCTGGTACAGATCTACCGGCACGTTGGTGAGAAGGTGCGTTTGGACCTCAGTCGCAAGGGCCTTCCTCAGCAGCGGTGCGTATCGCGTGCCATGTGGTGTATCGCGTGCATGGCATTCGCTGAAGCTGTATTAACGTGACAATGGGCGTGCTCCATCACGAGCATAAAAAACTGACTCGAGCCGACATTTATACGCTCGCATTCTGGCTCTGCTTCAAATTGACAAATTCACAATGAGCTTCCTTTAAAATTTGTTACTTTTGCTAAGGGATGATTATTTAAATCGGCTTTTCCAAACAAGTATAGTAAAATACTTTGCTTATGCTTACGCAAAGGTTTCTCGAAGCCTCGAGAAATCCTGTTTAGTTTTTGGTTAATTTGGTTGATTTGACCTGTGTTACATACAGTGTTAATTTCTGTTTTGAATATTGTTTGCATACATTCAACACAGCTGACACTCTGGATGACTGGTACACTCCATTCTGGCTGGAAAAAATCCAGCATGGGGCCTGCCATCCCCGGTGTCTGGCTGCTTCGTACCGCTCATTGTGTGTGTGTATACTTGTGGCATGAGCGTACATGGGGCTGACATGAACAGGGTAGGACTTGCTGTAATTTTGTAATAGGTCACAGGAAACACTGACCTTCACCTGCCTGGTTTGTTTTGGGTATTCATTGTCAAAACATCTGGAAACATGTATTTAACTATCACTACTGATAAGTGTTTTACTATAATTGTTCATATTATTCGCATGTACCCTGTCTTTAATATACATAACCATAATAATCTGTATCCAGTATATATATTTTTTATATGTAATTGTAATGGTATTTATGCATATAACCTGCATTTGCTATACATTGTCTTCTGACCTTGCTATCTGGAAGGTTGCTGCCCAGAGATTTCACACTGTATCTGGTTCTAGTAAGAGCTGACCAATGCAGCATTTGTAAAAGTTTGTCCTCAATTCCAGGCACAGGCAACGCCCCACATATGATTAACTGTGGCCAGTTTGATGAACAACCAGCATTTGCCTATGCCAGCGGCATACAGTAGATTACACAGTCATGTTCATTCAGCCCACTTAAAATATGATTTCTTTCCACCCTGTTTGCAAGTGGAGCGTATGTACGCTCATGAAAGGAGCATGCGATATCACATGCTTCCAATAGCCATCTTTGCTCATGGGTGGAAACTGCATGGGCAAAACAGGGAATCGGTTATTCTTTTGAAAATTCTAACTTGTTCTCGACGGAGTTTTTTTTTTATTCTGCATGAATCCAGATACTTGTATTCAGCCAAGTGCCCTTGAAATTATAACATAGTTCGGCTTAGAATTGATGGATTTGAAAGTATTTCGTATATTGTGGTTAACTTTATTTAAATGGCCATGTTGCTGAAAGCCAAAGGCAATATCCTGTTTTGGGTTGCTTGATAGAGACTATTGTACCAATTGCTTTGTATACACTGAAAGTAAAGCTCTGTTTTGATAACTAATCTGAAAAATAGTGAAGTTGTTTCCAAAGTGTTGCAAAATTATTTTAACTACATAATGAATAGTGTCTTCATTGAATCCACAGTTACATTGGCAGTGATTTAACATTCCCATGTTATTGGTTTGTGGTCAGCCCTTCTGGTCCCTCACCTATCCATAATGCATGGCTGTAGAATAGTAAGTGTTGCATGAATTATCCCCAGGAGGGTATTTTATTTGCTGTGTATACACTTGTCCACAAAATATTTCCTCTAAACAGGAGACTAAAAACAGATGCTATGAGACGCCTTGCTTGCACACCAACAAATAGATTTAGTGTTTTCTTTGTGTAAAACTGTGCTTTTGTAATGTTGTCTATGTCATTTGATGCTAATTGGAAGTAAGTAATCTTTACCAATTAATTTTCACTTGGACGAGGGGCCCGTCCAGTTGTATTATAGCTCAGAATCAAGTGAAATGTTAAATCCTGACAAAGCAAAAGGCAGGGTACTTGAGGTTGCTTTTCTCATCGCAGCACATTCTTACACAGCAGTTGGACTCACAGGACTTGGCATCACATGAACAGCTTCTTCCACGCAGTGCCGCAGGAGCTCATTAGTGGCAGGACAAACCTTATAGTAGGAAGCAACACAATAGCACAGCACAGCAGTGAAAAATTGGAACCAGTTTACTGGCCAAATGCTGCTTTCATTGTGCTTGCTTAATGTGTTTATCTGCGTCACAGGACGCAGTGTGGTAGCCACTTAAAATGGTGGCATCCTATCGGAATATGATTATAATTAAAATCTATTTTTATCTTGGAGCTCTCGAGAATTGTGGGTTCCATGCATAGTGATGCTGAAGCTTTTAGAACATGGTGTTACGATGCCAATGTTTCTATATGCCCTTTGTGTGTCCTGAATGCCTCCTGTGTTGTCGGTAAGAGTACAGTTGTAAATTCGCATGACAGCTAGAGAGGTTTTGTAATTACTTCGCACTAACGTGCATTCACCATTGTCGACCCCGCGAACGGAGCTGTTGCCGAAATAATAGTGGCTTCGCAGGGAAAAAAATACGTGACAAAATGACGAGGCGTCCGGGCTGTGTCACAGGTGTGCTGGCGCATGTGTGCGCGCGTGTGCTTGTGACCGGCATTCCAAGTGGAAGGAGGACTGCGTGAGCCAGGGGCTGTGGGAAGGGGCACAGTCGAGGGAAGGGGTGGGGGCGTTGCGTCGCGCAGGCTTATGTTTTATTCATGAGGAAATCTTTTCTCGTGTCATCGCTGCAGCTCTCTGCGTAGGCTGCACGAGCCGAGCAACCGTTGTGTGTTTACCTTGATCTTGTGCAGCGTTCATTCGGACGACCCATTCATATTGTCGTTTTTGTTATTGTGTATGTTCGTTGCAGGTTAGCTGCATTGTTTGACAAATTCGATGAGGTGCAGAAGTCTGGCAACATGATTGCTACAGCCACGGCAGGTGAGCACATTCGGTCTTCCTCTGCCCTCCCCCCACAGCTGTCTTGTGCCCCCCCCCCCCCCCCCTAGGCTCGTTCTTAAAAAAATCAGGCACTTGTAATTGTCTATGAATGTTTAATTGGTTGACAGATCCTCACAGCATTTGTAAAAGAGCATAGTTTCGCCTTACGTTGTTATAATTATATTTTTTTATTTAATTTATATGTCCATTGTATTGGAAAATGTAAAGATTTATAAACATTAGCTTCATTCAGCTGCTGTATGGCACTGTGGTCGTTTGTTGCACATGGCGCCTCGTGTGTGGTTGGGGAGAATTTTGACGGCTAATTTCAAAATAGCCTATGCAGCCTGCAAGTTGCACCCGTTGTGTCCTCAAGCAGGCCTCATGAATATGCATGGCAGTGACATTTAGCAAGTGCAGTGTGGCATTTTATGAAAGTATGATTTTTAATAACGCCTCTTCTATGAGGTCTGCCCTTGACAAATTGTATATTATTAGCTTTATTACCCGGCTTCGCCCTAGACTTGGATTCTTGTCTTTGATTAATTCACGGCCTACGCGGAGGGTTGGGGGATGCGTGACGTCAGCAGGCACACTGCGTAACGCTGCCGCATGCGGGTGACATCACAGATGTTACTTGACCGCTCACTTGCCGTGCAAAACATATGCATTATTGCGCCCCCCCCCCCAAAATACAAAAGTAATTTTTTATACTTTTTGCATTGTGTACAGTCTGGAAACTACCCATATGCCAAATTTCAAATTTGTTGCATGTCGGAAAGTACTCTAAACATTTCGAACAGACACACATATTCACAAATATCCCTTTCATATATATAGAGATTTCCTTTTGAATTAACTGTTTCTTTAAATACCATACTCATTTCAAAGCAAAGAGATGGCAGGGTGAAGTGTCAAAATGTGCTGCACTTTTTTTTACAAACTGTGCCCAATGTGACAAAGTCATTCTGACAGTCCAGAGTTCATGACGTCACACGGCCTACTTTCGTTTTATATGGCACACACTCCATGCGTGTACATGAACCAAGCAGCTCGTGTTGAGATGCGTGGTGAAATTACATTATACCGTCTACGGTGGTCTGCTATAAGCATTGAGCTTCATTGGTGTTGACGATGTGTGCGAGGTTTTCCACTCTGGCTTGAACAAACAGTCGACACCTTAATGAAAATATTAATCATTGTGCAGTTATTGACAGTTACAGTGTAACTTTTATACAAATAGAATCAATATACAGTAAAACCTTCGATTGCGAGTAACTTGGTCTGCGAGTGTTTTGCAAGACGAGCAAACATTTTTTATAAATATTAATTTGATAAATGAGCGAGGTCTTGCAATACGAGTAGTACGTGTATACGCTTTGTCTGCCGAGCGTCACGTGATCACAACTGATATACGAGTGCTTTAGATTACAAACACGTTTCCAGAACGAATTATGCTCGCAATCCAAGGTTTTACTGTAATCGGGAACATAATTTAGCATGATCGCTGTAAACGGTGAATTCAGTCGATCATTCTCGTGTCACACTCATAACTGAGGGTTGATGCCCATGACAGATGCTTTTCATCTTTCATGATCTTCAGTGTCTCTCCCAGAGTCCCATGCAATATTCCACATTGTCCTACAAACAGAATCATCTTTGGCATATCTTCAACTGGCCATCTTAGGATATGGCCTGCATATAACAGATGTCTTTTAATCAGATCCTGAAGCCAATACTATGAGCATTCTTTGTTAGAGATTACAGTGATTTTCCTTAGAATATACTTGTTTGTGCCATAAGTGTGAATTTCCAACACTGGATCTGCCAACAAAGGTGAACACTGCTTGTTTAAACATTTATTTGGCTCTATTGATAACAGCCTTAGATTGGCTAACCCAAGTCTAATTAGAATAGTTGCAATCTGTACTCATCATCATCAGCCATGATTTCTACCCTGCTGGATGATGGACTCCCCACACAATCTTGTAAAGCAAATATCCATCTTCAAGCTGATTTCTTTCATCCGTTTTCATGGTGGATCTACTCTCAGCTTGTCCCATCCTTTGGCTGCCACTCCATAGTTTCAACCACCTATCATCATCCCTTCTCGGGACGTGTCCTGCCCAATCCATTTACTTAACAGTCAAAATGACTCGAACTTGTGCATGCTCTCCAAATAATGTGTTCCTTTTCCTGTTTCTCAGTGTAATTTAAAGCGTGTACTTCCCCAGTACACATGCATTTCAGAAATTCTATAGTGCTACTAAATTTAAGAGGTTATGATTACATGTTCAATGCACCTTGATTTATGCACCAAATCTACAGCTTTAGCCAATTGTATCCTGCTCGAACTCGCTTTAATTAATAGAAAATCTGTTCATGTTACAGTTTTGCACCAGCTGTTCCATTTCCCAAATGAAGGAATATATTCACTATTTGTTGTAGGGAGCCCGCATGCGCTTTGCTTTGAGAGTTTTTGTATTTTCGCTTTCAGATTGTGGGCCGAGGATTAGCAAAATGCACTTTGGCGAATTCTGCTTTCCCACTGTGGTGTAGTCCTTGCATTGTATTTCAATAGCTCTAGCTGAACTCTTGTATGTCAAGTAGTCTTCAATAGGGCTGTACTTAATTCCCTCTATCGTCCAGTATCTAGCGTGAGCTAAATTTTTGTTAGTTGCAACAGCTTAGTATAGTTTATAAAAAAAAATGTGGGTGATGACCAGACCCCTCTCATCTGTCTGTAAACTTTCAAGACATTAATATTATCCACTCAACTTAATTAGGTTAAGTATGTGCATCAATGCTTTATTGCTGGTGATATATAAGGTTTGTAGAAGTTATTCTTGACATGGAAGCCTCAAAATTGTGGAAAATAATGAACCACAAGTATAAAACTAAAACGTCAGAAATGTTGTAAATTTATTTTTAAACATATCAACTGGATGAGTCAGTTGGATATTTATAACTTTTAAGTCTATGAGACATGTCTCGTTTGCATTAGAAGTCTGGAATATATGTAAAGCTTAAATAAACATTTTTGAAAAATTAAGTTTAAAAAAATACGAATTCACTTTGTAAACTCACATTCTTATAAAACCAAGTTTTTATCTTTTTTTTCACATTGATTCTGATCAATCAGTGCTACTCTGCATGAATTGTCTGCCCTGCAGCTCAGCTAAACCTGGCTTGCATTTCTTGAAAGGAAATGACACCCAATAAAAATGATAAACAGATTCACCGCGGTGAGCTGGGTTTGCATGCGGCACTACATGCTGCGGCAGGACAGGAGAGGGGGCCACAGGGCGGCCGGGGGAGGGATGTTGGTGGGGAGACTCTTATTCTGAAAGGCTGGCAGAATGGGGTTGAGGGATTGGATTTGTTGGATGGATGTGCCCAGGCTGCGGTAGCCTAGGGCACAGAGGAAGCAGCAGTAGGCGGCTCTGTTTCATGCTCATCTCTCCTGGTGCTACCGGTGTTGCCACCGTTATTGTCAAAGCACCATCTCTTCATCAGCGCTTCCACAATGGCGATTGATCATGGTAAGACATTCTTTATTGATCAGTTTAAAAATATTATTCGTGTTGGCTCATCAGTTATATTGTGTTGGAATTGGTTGCTATCCAGAATGAGCATGTCATGCTGAGAAGAAAAAACACAAGCTGCTCGATTGCCCGGAGATTTCTGCACAATAGCCTAGTGTTTGTAATGGTTGAAAACAACCAGAAATCGTCACAGTCCAAATGGTTTGAGATTTGTTATTTGGCATTACTGTTATGTTATGCTACGCTCGGTGATCTGCACAAGGGTATGAATAAGCATTTTCGAATATGGTAATCTGTTTTTTTATGAGTGTCTTGACAAAGTATGTCGGTGTAACATCGAATCTCTCGGTGCAAAAATTCAAGAAAGGGTGAACGGCATTTTATTTGTGTTTCAAATGTCAGAATAAAGGAAACTAAAACTTTATGCATATGTTTTCACTGATAGCAGTCCATAGCAGGATTTTGTAGCTTTAACAAACCATCCACTTAGGGTATTGACGGCACAATGATGTGTGCAGGGGCCGGTGGAATTAGGAATCCTATGAATATTCATATTCCCTTCGACTCTTTCCCTCTTGCTGTGATCATCAGGATCTCATCAATGCTCATCTGCTCATTTTGCTCAAAAAATTGTTTTTTTGCCCATTGTGCTTTAACATGCAATGGGGAGTGCAGCTCAATATTGAGCTCATTTTGGCTGCAAAGTTCACCACATATGACTTGCCCTGTCACCCCATATCTTTCTCCCTCTGCCCCTCCCCCACAATGGCATGCCTCTGTTGGTTGGGGCTCCCTGTTGCCCAGGCGCTGTGAACGCACCGCTGTCATGGTTCATTTGTGTGCCGCCGCTGACTTTTCGGTGAAGTCTCTCCTTGGGGCATCAAGGCCGGCCCGGCCATGTTAAATGCCTTTGCACTATTGCAGCCAAACGTTAATCACATCCTACACGCGATGTTGGGTTGCACTTCAGGGCTCATGGCCTCAGTCAGCCGTCATGGAACGTGAGCTCTAAATCCTCCATCGCAATGTACATCTGCCTTTTGAGTCTTGGATTGCCCCAGTGCTTCATCTGTAAGCTGCTTATCTCGGTTTAATAGCTGAATAGTGGCTTCTGACTCACATTCACAACGAGGGTTTTAATGTACTTCCCTGCAGTGGCTTTGGAGGTTTCAGCCATATTGGTTCTGGGTTTATTTTATTTTTGTGCTTTTTAATGCGTTGGCTTTTGGCATTTTTAGGTTAAGTAAAATCAAAGATCTTTGTTAAAAGAAATGTTATTGCATGTTGCAGTATTGTATTATATCGCCTGGAGCCATTCAGTGCATTACGATTCACATCTGATTTAATGCCCATCGAAATTAAATGGTGGTGTCTTTACGCTACAACGGAATTGCATTAAACACTTTCCCTCTTCTAACCCCTCCGCCCCAGACAATTAACGTTGTGATTGTGTGT